ATTTAATGAACTAAATGAGTACTTTCACTAATATTACTTGTGTCTTTTCAATTCAGGATACTTTTACTTTTGTCACAGTTTTTCTGGCCACTTTTACTTAGAAAAAGTAAGTGATGCGGTGGATGATTCTTCTACCTCAGCCGGAACTCCCAAAAACACTTACGTGCTCTTGTAATGTGTAACGAAGTGTGAACCATCTGAAGGTGAATTAGGGAAAACTTGGTTGCTCGGCGCATTTAGAAGACACCCCGTGGGCTCCTAAAAGCATAATCTAACATAATATTACAAAATAACAAGCAATCCAAATGCACACAGATAATATTTACTAAAGGGAAAAAAAAGCTATAAGGAAAACCTTTCTCCCAATGGTCTTCAGAGTTGGTGCATTATGTTTAGTCTGGGGTGATGGCAGGAGGGAGCCCTGCAAGATCAGAAAGAATGATGTTAATGTTGTTGTATTATCATCGTACAAAAGAAAATTAAAATTAAATAGCTAGGAGGGGGCACTAACCGGCCAGGCCAAGGGACCGACGGCACCTCGTGTGAATCCCGACTCTCGACAAGAACGGCTACAACCCCCCGGTATCGCCTCAGTGACCTCAAACACAGAAGAACAAACCCTACAGTTTACCGTACAGTTACATGCGTGCTGCTTTATTAAACATGAAAACATTTAGAATCTGTGTCCCTCTACCTGAAGCCGTGGTGTGAAGTCGCTTTTCATCACTGAGCCCTGAGTCGGATGACGTTTAACCTGAAAAAAAACCAAAAACCAAAAAAGTGAAAATGCAAAAAAATGTTCAAAGTAAACAAAACTTTACATAGAATAGAGCTACTATGTAGGTGTAGCTGTTAGAAGACCTCCAAAGAGTGATATTATGTCTTTCTGACTCATTACAAGAAAAAAATAAATCTGTTTTTATCTTTTGTGTCAGTTAATCCAGTGAAAAGACCAAAACCAACCACGTGTTTCAGGTTTTCTGGGATGTTTTTGTCTCATATGTTCACAAGCAGATTACAAATATTTTGTGTCATTGTTAAGACAGGTTCAACAAATTCTACCTGTACGCTGTAGTTTGTAGCAAATGAGGATTAAAGTGGTTTAGTTGGGAACAATGCTTCGCCTATTTTGCTGCTGTAAATAAGTAATTACAGCAGCAGGCCGGTGTGTATGTGATGTTAAGCTGAAATAAAGTATGCAGACCTTGTTTATCATTTAAAAAAAAAAAAGAAAATGTCACCCACTACAATAATGTGGCTCATGTATGAGTGTTTGTTAGTTTAAAACACAAAAATAAGAGCCATAAAAATAAGAGCCATAACATATTACCAGTTTAGGATACACAAGCAGTACAGCATTTACTGTATTTGGTTTTGCTCCTTTTGTGGGGTTTTGTTCACAGTGATACAATCAGGAAATCTTATAGAAATCAGCATTAATGAGCAGTACTCACTGTGCAGCTGCTTTTTTCCTGAAAGGTAAAAGGTTGAAGATCTGTTCCCTCAGAGAAACCAGTCCCTCTTTTTGGACCCACAGTCACATGGTACTGAGAAACTGGAGCAAGAACAGCAGTTTAAATGCACTTGTATTTTTGTTTTTCCCGGTATGATCTTTTAATTAAATTTGTCATTTTTTAAAATAAATTCACAAAACCTTGGTAGTTGTCACGTTTGTTTTACCTGCTGGTGTGAGAGGAAGAGGCACGAATGATCTTTGGTATTCTGTCTGAAGAAATATTAATGAAGACAGACAGTGAATGTACTTTTTTTTATAACATCTCCGAGTGTTGTGGTTTATGTGTCATTAAAAGTACTGTACCGTCTCCTCCATGGTTGCTGTTTTCGGCTGAGTCTTCATCTGATGGAAGCCGCTGTCTCTGGGTTTGCTAATGATGTTTGGCAAAGAACCCGAACAATCAGACCGGATGTGGGGCTGGTAGTGCAGTTTAGTCTGAGACATGTAACTGTCTGATAATGAGCGTCTGGAAACAAAAACAACACACCTGAGTCTGAGGAAACACTTCAAAAGAACACTCTTCATTCATTGACAGTCTATTTTTCATTCATCGCTTCAGGAAGCTAATTTACACTGAAGCACCAGTTCCATCAAAAATGCTCTTGAATCCTATGAACTTCTGGGACCGAGAGACTCAAAGTTCACCCTAATTACAAAAAATAACACACTGTCTCACTTGCCTGTGCTGGCCCAATTTATGCCATATCCTGCCTCCAGCCTGGAGGAGGTGAAGATGAGTGCTGCTTCATCTGCTCTGCTCTCATAGCTGAACAGTTCGACTTAATACAGGGTTTTGATTTCTTTTGGGCAAAGATAGAAGAAGTACTTAGAGCTTGTATTTGAGTAAAACTACTAATACCACAGTGTAGAAATACTCTATTACAAGTATGTGTCCTGCATGTAAATCTATAAATAAGTAAAAAAAAAAAAAAAAAAAAAAGATGTAAAAAAAAAAAAAAAAAAAAAGATGTTGGAGCTGGTAAAGGTGGCTTCACTACTTTGTTTAGTTTATATGGTTGTGAATTTCAAAATTAATTCAAAATTAAATTGCTTTAAGTTATCCTGAAGAAACACTCTCTTATCTTGCCTGTACTACTGTGTATGAACAGCAAAATGACAATAAACTTGATTTGATTTGATCAGAAAATGGAAATACCCAAGTAAAATACCAATATTAAACAAGTAACTCAGAATTGTACTTGACAAAATGTTCACAGCGAGGTCTGTAAAAGAATCCTGAGCACCACAAATGTAACCCATCTCTGTTCATCCGTGTTTTACAGAGAACATTTTGACATGTCGAAGCATAAAAATCCCAGGCTTATTTAATAACAAACATCTGCGAAACGTGCTGGTATTAAGTATGATGGCTCACTGTAGTAGCTTACTGGAACTGTTTTTAATTCCACCTCTGCTTTTTTCCAACAAGTAAAAAGGTCAGCAGTCTGTTCTCTTAAGTGTGGAGGCCGAAAGCTCAGAGATGGCTATCTGGAAGACCCTACACTTCCATTTAAATCCACACAGGCGATTGTAATCTTTCTGGCTGATTAGATTTCTCTGAGATATGCAGGAGAGTACACACTTGACTGACATCTCCCAGATTCTCCTGCAACCTGTTAGACTTGGACAAATATCACCTCCACATCATGGAGTGTTTTCACAGAAGATTTGTGTCTGTCACAGATGGAGAAGCACATTTTTAAAAACAATGCGTGTTTAATATTCTCGAGTGAGCCACCACAGTGTAAAAGACAGCAGCAACTTTAAACCTCTGCAAAGGTCTTATGAGTCAGATGCAAAGTGTGAGGGCCTTCACTAGTTTGTATGAATTAAACCTCAGACAAGATGCATGTTTGGTCATGATTTAGTCAGACTGGCTCTTTAAAACAATAAAGGAAAAATCAGCTGCCATCATGAGAGCTCTGACACTTACCCAAACTGAGGGTTGTCAATGTGGTCCAAACTGGATGTGTAATAAATCGCTGGTCTCTGGTTTGATGTGAAGCCTGTACCACTGGGACGTCCGAGGTAAGAAGTGAAACTCATCCTTCCTGAGACAAATGTACAAAAACTGTCAAATCCGAACCTGAATCAGAATCAGTTTGATAAGAAGTCGTTTATCCTGCCGGTTTTCCACCTCACCCTACACACTCACCATAAGAAGCATTGTGCGGCGTGTTGCCGGTCAGTCGTCCCCTCCTGCCAGTTGCTCCAACAGTCGGCATGACAATCCTCCCCTGCTCAGCCATCTGTGACTGCTGTAATGGAAACCTTCAGTGACAACAGTGATGGATAGCAGAAATCCTCCGGGTATGTGGGCAACGCTGTAACCACAAATAAAAGCAGCAAACAAGGTGTAACTCCTTTGTTTTGTAGGTTTGACAGAATCCAGACAAACTTGGTGCTCACTGAATAAGTGATAACACAGTCTGTGGGAAATAATGCAATAAGTGCTCCCTTTTGTCAAAGGCGGTGTGAGAAACATCCCGAGCTGCAGAGCTCTCACAGTGAAGTCACAGTTACTTTTATTGAACCTGAATATAAATTACCCCGGAAAAAAAATAATCTGTCACTGAAGACGAAGCTTAACTTACTCCCAGGACGCACCTGCAACTCCAGTTCACCTCTAGTCTTGTGCAGGATTTGTAGGTAAACAGGTTTCTGTTGCTAGGAGATTCAACACGAGAGCGTTACAGCCATAGAGTGAAACTATCTGCCTCGAGTCATGCGTTTAATTATATTTAGCATTGCAGCAGGGATTTTTTTGTTCAGATGCACCTTTTATTTCCTGCAAAGTGTGACATTCAGCTGCTTTTCCTCAGTTTGTAGCAACACAGCAGGCAGCAGACCGCTGCAGATGAGCATGACCTGTTTTGTGTTTGTTTTTTTTTTTGGTCTTCTGTAGCCTTACAACTGTCAGATGAGCTCAGATGTTCCAAATGCTTCTGTAAAACTGATTTGAAACTGGATGTTATTTTGAGTTTCTTTCAAAACATGAAATTCAAACAAAAACAGTAACAACAATAAAAATGAATGTCTAAAGAGGGAGTGGGCTTATTGATTACTTCTGCTGACATAATATACATCAAATTTGCTCTGTAGGACTGTGATGAGGAAATTTTAACCAAACAAGAAGAGTTTTATTAGTTAGAACCTTTAGATCTGGCTGAAAATATTTAATGACTGTCTGGTTAGGTAAGAGTGGAACTCATAGGAACATAGAGTCTAGGCACATAATATATTGTAAGAAGTTGAGTCTCTTGAAATTGTGAAGACAAAGAGAAAGTATTTTATTTTGCAGAACAAAGTTTGACAAGCCTTGAGGAGCATGACTTCTTTTTCTAACATTACAACTGTATTGATTTTAACCAATATAATCGATGCGTTTTTTCCAGCTCAAGCTCTTATTTCAAGGACTTTAACACTATTATTTGTCTAGAAGTGCATACTTTTGCTGCAATATGTTTTCATACAATATGTAGGAATTTTAAAGTGGCTATACTTGGATTTCTTTCATTCACGTGGGTTTAATTAAAGTTTGTGTCCAACAAACTTTCTATTACAGAGACAGAAGCTGGATGTTTCAGTCATCCATCAGCACCTTTTGCTTTAAACTCCTCTGCTTGCATGTTAACTGGTTTACACACACTCTCAGCAGAGCCAGGTGGCGTTCAGGTGCAAAACTCATTTCTAATCATATTTGTGAGTTTAACTGAACACAAATTTGTTAGTGTACTGTATGTCTTACCAAATCATAATCTCTGTTTTTCTGTTTTTCCTCCACAGCCTTTGTATCCATCCACTATTTGATCCACATGTTGCACATTCAGACTTACAACAATATAGCTGCAGCTTATTCTCAATAATATATCACATATTTACTAGAAGATCGAACATTCTTTGATTTGACTGGCAACCTTGTTTTGAGTTATTGATGCAAGACTGACATTAGCATTTCTCAGCACTGTATAGTATTACTCTTGCACACTAATACTAATGTATGTAAACCAGTAATACATTGTAAAATACTGTGCACCTCAGTAGGGATTTTAGATTTACACAGATTTGTGCATATATAAACTGACATAATCCATTTAAATAGTCTACAGTATTCTACATTGTGTATGCATTGTTTCTTTGATTCAAATAGTTTGATCAATTTTAAGGATAAAGAGGCAAATGAGGCAAAACATAATAGACAAAAACTCCATATCCATTAGATTTTTGTGTTGCTGCTGTGACATGTGAATTTCCTTCCTTATCTTAACAAAATTTTTTAGATTCGCCGCCTTCAACCAGCGTCCTCACCAGCCTGTACAGTTCCTCGATGCGTCCACTGGATGGCATTGTGATGCCGCCATGACTCTGACTCCAGACTGGGGGTTATATAAAAATGATGGATGGCTTGAAATTTGCATGACATCTTGATAAAAATGTCCATCCCAGACAGGGAGTTATCATCCACCGCTGTTAGCTGCAGAAAAATGTCTGAACATCATCTATACTACATCCACACACGCACATCTACATGAGCATCTCAGCCTAATCCTGAGGATATTCACCTCCTGGTGTACTTACGACATCTGGAACAACAGTCTGAGCCGGACATCAGAGTCATTTTTCCTGGACGCAGACATGGAGACATAATACAGACCAGGGAGACTTTTGTATTACATCAAAAAGGGCTATCCTGTGGATCTCACACAACACCTGCTTTGTATTACAGATTCCACATTCTTGCTATGCACAGTGTGAACACTTCAAACACAGCATCATTTTCTTCACTATTTCAGCATTAAGAGGGATTCTGAATTACAGTATAAAAGCTAAATGGGTTTTTTCTTCTGTGCTAAGCTGCTCACCCTCTGGATCACTAAATCTGACAGTGCATAACAGTCGCACCATTTCCACACCTTTCCTTTAATTCTCACCTCCTATTTCTTCTCTTTTTATCTCATTTCCTTGGACTCACACCGCTTCCTCACCTCTGTCACATCACTTCTTGCTCCTTTTCTTCCCTCCATCTGGCCAACACTGGCAGTCGGCGGAGCCTGTCTTTACCAAGCTGTTGCTTGTATTGCCGTTCCACAGTCTTTCTTGCTTGACATGCTGTCGTGCCAAGCCTGGAACTGTTCATTATCTTCCACCAAAAAATAACTACAGGGAAACGCCTGCATCATTGAAACTGACAGTCTCATTTCCTGCTTCTTTTCTCTTAAGCACAATGTGCACATTATTGGCATTTCTAATTATAAACTCACAGGGATCCATAAAGCAGGAAATATACCAAGCGCCTGTTTCCATTCCAGTCAAAGACAACAACAGATGATTTCACTTATTCGAACAACTTCAGCCTAAGAGTCAGAGAGGAGGAACTGATCAGTGGAAGCACCTGCTGTAGTCTGTTTGAAATAAAAAAGCCTTCTCTCCTCTGATTGTTCATTTCTGCAATACAGCAATCTGTGTCTGCTCTCCATCTGCATAATTCACATGTAACATGACTGTGCTGTAGTCAGGCTCAGCTGTGATCATTGCTTCCTGATCCAAATCATTGCAATACTGACAATAAAGAAAAAGAAATCCTGCACCTCCTGCAACAGTTTGCACTTGAGATAACACTTAGAATGCAGAAGGGGCTTAAAAGACAAAAAAAAAAAAGGTGGATGCGGTTGTTCTAAAAATAGACGGAGGTGATGCAAGCAAGGGTCTCCCGTGGAGCTGATGCGCTTGGCTTGCCTGCAGCCGTCTGTTGTAGTTCAGGGAGGGACGAAACCTCGGCCCCCGTCTGCAGGGGCTCGGCTGGCTCGCCGCTCGTCTCCTGCTCAAACTCCTGCTGCTGATACTCTGCAGCTCGGGGAGGAGAACCTCGACGGTTTCTCTGTCAGTTCAATAACCTGTTTCTGTGTCTGCCATAGAAAAGCACGGAATTAATGTTTAGAGACATAAAGAGACAGCTCAGGCGCTAAGACCGCTCTTTGTGTGTCAGGTCTCAGAGGTGCTCTCTCTGCTTCGCTGCCTCTCTGTTCTGAGTCTTATCTCCTTCCTGCTTCCTTTTTGACTTCTGTACTTAATAGGCAAATCTGGCACGCACGGTTTGGAGTATATTGCATTGTCATCTTTTTCCATTTTGAGTTTCAGTCAGCTCCGGAGCGTGTAATGCTAAGGAGGCAGACCGATGAGTAGAGGGGGCTTCGGGCACAAAGTAAGACATTTCAAGTCAAAACAAGAACATTTCTTGACGTGTACAAGACAGACAAGTTATTCTCTGTAGCTTGATGAGAAGCAGATTAAATTAAAGAAAAACAATCTTTTGACAATCATGTTGATGCTGCAGGAAATGCCTTCGAATGTTTACGCAATCATGTCTGACGGACTGAACTTGAAACACGTGGAGATGTCGGAGTGAAGAGCAAAATGTCAGAAGTGGAAGGAGCTGTACGAACAATACAGCTGCTAATTAATGAGATAATCTGTCATCATCCTTGAAATGGGATGAAAAGTTCCTTCGGAGTGTAGCATGTAGCTGTGTGATTCATTTACCTTCTTGCTGACTAATGTGTTGCTCAGAGCAGAGGCTTTCCACTGGCCTATACATTTTTAATTGCTCTCAAAGGCAAAAACAACCTTTGCAAATTGCTGCCTCTCTTCGCAAATGGTGGTACGAGTTAAATTGGAATGGTGTCATTAGAGCTTCTAATCGTTTATATTGGAGTTTTATTGCACCGTACGTGTGTCCAATTTGAATTCAAAGAGCACTAAAAGATACACTGTATGGCAATAAGTATGTGGACGCATCTGGGCACATGTTGGTTTTTGGTATTTTTGGGGATAGAGGACATGCTAGTTATTTACTATTGCACAATAATATTTTAGACTCACTAAACTTTATGTGCTTCCAACATTTCAGGAAGTTCCTTTCCTGTTTCAATTTGACAAAACCCCTGCTAAATAAAAGAAATGGTTTCCCTGTTTGACTGGCCTGCACTCAGTTCTGATCTCAGTCTCATCCGGTGTCTTGGTATGAACTGGAGCTTGGATGGTGCAGCAGGTCTTATCTACAAACTTCATGGGCCTCAATGGGAGCAAGGGTCCAGTTTCAAAAAGTGGAGCTAATTATCAGAAGAGTTCATTTTTAGAGATTCTACGAATGATTACTTGAAAGATGTTCATCACAAGTTAACCTATGACAATGGCTTTTTGGGTCAAGCAACAGCTCCAAACCCAAAGGTATTAAGTTTACTATCATATA